AGGTGTGTTAAATGAGGGGAAACCCCAAAATGTGCAGGGCTCCGGCCCCCCAGGACTGGAGTCTGACACCCCTGAACTAAGGGCTCTCTTTTATGTACTTTTAAAGGCTGATTTCAGAAATGCATTCATAATTTCTATCGCCCATAGTTTTTGAGTGATGTCATTTTTAGGTTAGATGCATACCTTAAATTTTATTTAAGATGTATCTTTTCTATTTGTGAACATTTTCAAGACTCACAGAAGGGCGTGAAGTACCGTAAGTTTGTTTTGTCAGAGTTTACAGGTCCGGACATGCTGAGACAGGATCTTCTAAAATGAAAAATTATTTAGGCCTAAAGATACGAGGAGTCCTAGTATGCTTGCTGACTCGAAAAAAATTTTAATAAAAAAGTTTTTTTTATTACTATTTTTTTTACGTTTTTCTGGTTTCAATTATCGAGTAAACTAAATGAATATTTTAAAGTTAGACTAACTTCATGGGCGTCGCTGCCATTAAATCTGAGGGGGACATGTCCCCCTCACATTTCATAATTATTCGTTTGGACCCCCCCACATTTAACATAAAATATTAGTTTTATGCCAGTGTGCCCCCCCCCACACACACACACATTCAAAATGCTTCTGACGCCCCTGACTAACTTAAATATTTAACTACAGCCAAAATTATTTGCCTTTATTTCTACAAATCTAATTAAGTTAAAACAACATATCAGTACAACTTTTGAATAGATATAACGTCTTCTTTACTTGAATTGTTTTTCCATCTTTATTTAATTTCCGTCTAATGGCCGTTCTCCCCCAAACCAGGTAATGTATTTCTGGTAGGTTAGCGCAAAGTGAATTGGTTTTCTATGCTCATAAAAGCTGAGTAACTAGAAATCCACCTCGGAGTGAAAAACCAAGCCTTTCTATTGAGTTCTTATCGGGACTATAGCTCAATAAACCCCAAACCGAATGTGAACCTCAAACATGGGAGGTCTGACGCTGGACAGGAAAGTACACACGGTGGGTAATTTATACAACGCTAAAGACGTGCGAGGATCGGACAGGGTTCACGTAAGACATAGGCAAACACACAAGACAACTGGGAAATACAATAAATATTAAATAGCCTATTAACATTATCAAAGAGAGGGATAATGCTCGCGATCGGTAAAATGTACCGAGGGGACCCCCCCCCAGCTAGCAAAATATTACTCCATAGCAAAATATTACACCCCATTGCACAATGTTTGGCTACGCTCTTGCTAGTCAAGTCAAGATGATTATACTGTTATATCATCTTTACACGGTAGTTCAGTGATACGAAATTTCGTTCCCCGGGATATGGGCGTAAATTAAGGGGGGCGGGGACGGTACCCCCCCCAGTATTCAAACCAAAGTTACGCCTTTGCCCCAGGACCACGGCGAAACGTAGAAGACTATATGCATACAGCGTGTGGCTCAGTGGGCTAAGCCTGTGTACCTGTAATCACACGCTTGTCGGTTCAAACCCAGCCTCAGCACGTCTGTGGCTCCTTGAGCAAAGCCCTTAACCCCCAGCTCCCTGGGCGCGCCAACAGGTGGCTGCCTTTGAGAGAGGCGTAAAAACAATTTCGCCATGGGGGTCAATAAAGTATTTCTTATTATTTGCTATACATATACTTACACTTTAAATACGGTGCACACTTACAGTGTAAAGAATGGAAACTGTGCAAAAAAAGATCTGGGTATAGCAGCATGAGAAAGAGGGAGCGACAGGCGGGAACACAGGCATGGGGACTCCCTGAACATCAGCACTC